ATACTTTGAAAGTAATAGTAATGCGGAATATTTGAAACCACAGTGAAGCACTATTCTTACCAGGAATTTTATTATTTTAAGAATTTTATTTCATTCTAACACAGGCCTGGGCCATCTGCTTTTACATAAAATTTTAAATATGCTGTATTAGATATTTTTAAAGATGTTAAAAACCCTGTACTTTGCAATAGTGAAAAGTATCTTTTGAAGTTGGGCACTGTGGTGCACACCTGTAATCTCAGCACTCTGGGAGGCTGGCAGGAGGATGGTAAGTTCAAATCCCAGGTGGGCAACTTTAAGTGAGATCCTGTCTCAAGCATTTTTAAAAATGTAAAAAGGAGAGTCAGGTGTGGTGGTGCATACCTGTAATCCCAGAACTCAGGAGCCTGAGGCAGGAGGATTGCCTTGAGTTTGAGGCTACCTTGAATCCTGTCTCAAAAAAAAATTTTTTTAAAAAAGGGCTGAGAAGGTCGTGAGTTCAATTCCCAATACTGGGAAAACAAAACAAAAAAATAAAATAAAATAAAAAAATAAAAAGGGCTGAGTAGGTAGTTTAGTGTAAAGGACCTGGGTTCAATCCCCAGTATTGGGGAAAAAAGTGCTGGTTGACTCTGAAACTGAAAACCTACCCCTCACCAGAGCAGGCTATACTCTGGGACAGCCTCAGTTGAGGAGGCCCCCTCTCCCGAGGCATCTTTTCTGGGCTGAGACCATCTGTCTGTGTCTGTGTCTGTGTTGGCATCTACTGTGCCTTGACAAGTCCTTCTTGGAGCAGTTTCCTGTCCTCCCTCTGAACTTCAGGAACTTCCCTGCAGGCAGTGCCAGCAGAAGTCGGTGGGCAACCAGTAACCACGCCTATGTCACAAATCCACTTTCTTGGGACTTACAGGGAACAGCCTGGTGTCTACATCACATTTCTCCTAAGCAAGAGAACTAATCCTCAAAAGATATTTGAAAAGCTAAGGAAACTGCTGGCTCCCAGCATGCCAAAGTTTTATTTAATTAGGTATGTATATATGTATGCATTTATTTATTTATTTATTTATCTTTTTGAGACAGGGTCTCACTATGCAGTTCAGGCTGGCCTTGAGCTCACTTTGTAGCCCAGGCTGATCTTGAACTTGCAGTGAACCTCCTGCCTCAGCTTCCCGAGTATTAGGATTACGGGCATGTGCCACCACCCCCGGCTCCCATTTTCTTATTGATCACAACAGACGCTGAATAATTAACTTGCCTGTGTCCCTGCTGTCCTGCCAGGAGGCAGCGGCAACCCACCTAGATCCCCCTGAAGACAGCAGCTTGAGCAAGAGCTGGGCTTCTCCTCAGTGGTTTCAAGTCACTACATGAGCCTATAGAAATAACTGCTCTCTTTTCTCCTCTACTCCCCAGAAGTAGAAGATAATATGTGTCTTTCCATAGAAACCATTAATCTAGAAGGAAAGTTCACTGAGGACTCACTATGGAGCCCAGGCTGGCTTCGAACTAACTCATGGCGATCCTCCTGCCTCAGCCTCCTGAATGCTAGGATTACAGGCATGCATCACCACACCTAGCTCTCTCTTCTGATTTTTAAGCGAAGAACCTGAAACACAGAAGTAAATAACCACAGCTCAAATATTAAAATCTACTTACATTCAGGAAGAAAAATAAAGAAAAGACAATGGAAAGTGGAAAGCGCATGTTTATAATCCTAGCTGGTCAGGATGATGAAGCAGAAGATTACAAACTCAAGTTCAACCCGGGCAATTTAGTGAGAATTTGCCTCCAAGTAAAAAACAGCTGGAGATATATAGCTCAGCCTTCCCTGGGTTCAGTCCCCAGAATCCCCCACCAAAAAAAAAGTAGCGGTTCCCCGGAAGGAGGGCTTCCGGCGCACAGGGAGCCACGGGTGGGAAGCGCTGGTCT